GTTTAGAATGTTGGTTACAAGTTATTATGAATAATGGTCAGGAGAAAAGCTAAACAAAGGAGATTCAATTCAGAGTTCTTGTTCTTAAAAAACGGGGGGGGGTACTGTAAGACAATGGTCTGTACTCTGTCACTTGTATTTTAAATAAACACTGATTGACCAGTAGCCAGGCAGGAAGTAAAGGCGGGGCAACAAGAATTCTGGGAAGAGGAAAGATTCAGTCTACAGTCGTCACCCAAATGCAGAGGACACAAGATGTGACTGCCTTGCCAAAAGAGGTACCAAGCCATATGGCTAACACAGACAAGAATAATGGGTTAAAGTAAGATGTAAGAATTAATTAAGAGGAAGATGGAGCTACTATGCCAACCAGTTTATGATTAATGTAGGCCTCTGTGTATTTTTTGGGGACTGAATGGCTGCAGGATCAGGCAGGACAGGAAACCTCAGTCAACACAGGTGGAACAAGGGGACAAGCTAATGACAACACTGACTCTACAAAGCTGCCTCTGACCTCCACACACTTCATGGAACACAAACTTACATTTACACCATTCCATAAACACACAATAATAAGAAATTTTAATTGAAAAAGGATCTAAGATGAAGGAACAGAGGAGATATAAAAATAATCCCTAGGATTATAGCTTGCACAATTAAGTAGGTAAAGGAGCTGTTCTGGAACAGGTACTCAGAACATCTTCAATTTGAGTACCTGTAGAATATAAGAGTTGAGTTGGTTACTGGATATTCCAAGACAAATTTTAAAATCACCTAGTAGCTGAAGTCATAGAAGTAAATAATACTGCCCCTGCCTCCAGTGATATGATTAAAGATGTATGCCCACCTTTTGATTTTCTTTACAAAAGTGTGAGAGTTTGGGATCAGAGAGATGATAGCTCAGCAGGGTAGAGGTTCCTGCCATAGAAGCCCAGTGGTCTGAGTTCATTCCCCACAATCACAGGTAGAAAATCATTTCCACCAAGTTGTTCTCTGACCTCTGCATACCCAGACATAAAGAGACAAAAGAGAGACAGATAGGCACAGACATACACAGAGACACACAAAAAAAGGAATTATGAGAGTGTGGCATTGCAACAAGTAAAAAGCTAAGCAACACTGGGAACCCTGTTATACTTGAAACCCTAGTAGGAATTAGTATTTATCAGCACTGTTAATGTCTTTGGATTAGAAATGTAAGAAGAGGAATATTGTTCTAAGATTGAGGATTTTCAGGGTCTGTATGAAGGTAGGATAAAAAGAAGAAATTCAAATCACAAACTTCACCCTGGTTTAGGACAGAGGTGCCTCTCTTCTAGGCTTTGTGAACAAATTATGTTGCTCAATAACTATTTAAATACAAACCAGTCTCTTTTTGAGACTGTCTGAAATTCTAAGTGCTAGGACTTGTTTGCAGCTGTATCTGACCATACTTAAATAATGGCTAATGTTGGCAGGTACTCAACAAATGTTTGACAGCTCCAAGGCTGCTGACTGAGATGATCCAGTCTCACACTCTCCAGCCAATACTTAACAATTATCCAATTTTCTCAAAGTTCCCCCAAAAGATGTCAACACTCCCAAACAACAGGAAATAGTCTAGAAAACTACGTCCACATTGTCCAAAAATTGTTTATGGGCTTTTGTTATCATGTAAGTGGGGGTATTACAAGTTGTTATTGGTAATGGTCAGGAAAAAACTGAACAATGTAGATTAGATTCAAAGATCTCCTTTGAAAAAAAGGGGAATGTGATATAGAAATGATAGGATAAAAAGGAATATTATTCAATCTACTTTTTTTTTAAGATTTATTCTATTTATTTATTTTGTATACAATATTCTGTCTGTGTGTATGCCTGCAGGCCAGAATAGGGCACCAGACCTCTTTACAGATGGTTGTGAGCCACCATGTGGTTGCCGGGAATTGAACTCAGGACCTTTGGAAGAGCAGGCAATGCTCTTAACCACTGAGCCATCTCTCCAGCCCTTCAATCTACTTTTAAACCAAAAAAGCAACTATTAGTCTTAAATATTTTACATGGATATGAACTTTTGTATATTGATACAAATTTGAGGTTAATTTTTCTATACTATATATATGTTTCTACTATTTAAGGTATTTTTGTATAATGATACAAATTTAAGGTTACTTTTGTTAGAACTTACTGTACCTATGTTTCTACTCTTGTTTGGAGTACTATGCCTATATATCTCATTTAAAATATAATGTATAATTAAGAAATATAAGTTATTAGTTATAATAGTTAAGCTTATGCTAGGTATGTTTCCAAAGTCATGCACAGATATATTTAGATAGACAAATGGCCTTTAAATACTTCAAAGACCTACAGAATATGGTATTCAATGATTAATAACCAAAGGCTTTTCATGACAGTGAAACACATCTGTTTCTGGCAGCACCAATCTACTTCAGAGAAGATGATGGGCATCAAAGAAACTTCATATGGAGTTTGCTTTCTTTATGGCAAAATCTAGCCATGTAGGCAAAGAAACTGCCCTTGCCTCAATTGCTGACAGTTATTGTCCAAACTGGACCAGCAGGCCACAAGAAGAGAAACTGCCACACTTTGCCGAAACAAGGTAGGACAGTCCTTCAAAATTCCCTGCTTCACAGAAATGTCTTCCAGTCACACTAGGTCTGTAGGCCAGAGTTGGATGACCCAACTTTGCAGAGGAACTTTGGATGACTGTCCAGGCAGCCTGATATCCCTGATATTAGGTAATATTTCATCCTTCATGGGTCTTTGATGAAGTTGAAAATCACAGGTAAAATTTTAATTAGTTATAATAAAAGATAAATTAGGTATAAAACTAAGATAGGACAGATAATAAAATATTTTCTCTAATTTTGTCAAATACAAATAGACTAGATATTGTAACTGCAATTCTTAGTTAATAACTGTTTTTGTTATATATAATCTTACTATGTTAAAGTTAAAGCCCATCTTTTTAATTAGGCAAAAAGGGGAAATGCTGGGGAATAATCCTTTTGTGCACTGTGAAGATTTGTCACTCAGATTGGTTTAATAAAAAGATGATTGGCCTATAGCCAGGCAGGAATTATAGGTGGGACAACCAAACTAGGAGAATGATAGGAGGAAGTGGGCGGAGTCAGGGGAGATGACAGCCAGTTGCTGAGGAAGTAGGATGTATAGAAAAAGAGGTAACAACCCATGAACCATGTGGTAAAGCATAGAGGGGAAAACAGGTTAATTTAAATGTAAGAGTTAGCTAGTACCAAGGCTGAGCTATCGACTGAGCATTTATTAGTAATATTAAGTCTCAGTGTGTTTATTTGGGAGTTGCTGGTAGGACAGAAACTTCTACCTACAACTAGGAGATAAGGAGTTCAAAGTCATCCTCAACTATATACCAAGTTAGAAGCCATCCTGGACTGTGCATCTATCTCAAAAAAAAAAGCAAAAACAAAAACAAAAACTCCCCACAAAACCAACAAAAACAAAAACAGAAAATAAACAAAAGGATATATAATAAATAATTGAAAATAGTTTTATACTGAGAAGAAACAAACAGAACACAAGGAAATATTAAAATACATACACACACTCACACAGGAAAAGGGGTGGGAGACCCATAATTTTGAAAAGGTAGCCAGGGCAATCTTTTCCAAAGGGGTACCATTTAAGCTAAAATCTGAAGAGTGATAAGTTGAGCTAGCTTTTTCATCACAGCAACAAAAGACCTGAGAAACTAAAGGAGGCTTTAAAGAGTTGTTTTGGTAGGTCTGGCAGTGGCCTTTAATCCTAGCACTCAGGAGGCAGAGATAGGCAGATCTCTGTGAATCTGAGGCCAGCGTGGTCTACAGATTGAGTTCCAAGAAACAAAACAAAACAACAAAACAAAACAACAACAACAACAAAAGACTTGTTTTCTATTAGTTTCAGAGGTGTCAGCCTATGCTCACATGGCTGTACTGTTTCTGGGACCACATATTTGTAAGACAGATCATCATGACCAGAGCAGGAATAGAGCAAAATGATACATTTCACAGTGGATAGGAAGAACTGGAGCAAGAGAGGCAGAGGCTAGGAACAAAGTATATTCTTCCAAGACATAAACCTAGTGATGATGTTCTTCTACACTAGACCCCACCTCCTAAGGAGGCCAGCAATTTAATTTCATGATCCAGTTACTCCTCAACACCACTACCATAGGGGCCAAGCCTTCAAATGAGTCTTTTATACCCAAATCATAACAAACAGAAAGAATCAATGAAGGAAAAAGGGGAGTCTCTCCAGGCCAAGGAAAAAAACAAATGCAAAAGACCCACCTCAGAAAAAGGCCTTACTCTTTGGACTATTAATGACAATGTTGAAGAAGCCATGATGGTACTCCCTTAAGCTAACTTTATAGGCCAAACTACAAGTTCCAGAAAGCAGAATTTCAGTCCTGAAGCCTCAGCCATGTCCTCCTTTCTGCCCTTCTTCTTCATGTCATTCTGACTCCCTGAATGAGACCAAGGGAAATTTCTTGATTTCTTTCAGGCATCCTAACACTACTAGTTACCTAGAACCTTTGATTCTAAAATACATAAAACCACAAACAGAAATAATTTGAGAATAGAACTTTAGATGGAATACATACGACTTCAGAAGAGCCATAAAGAAATCTTAACAGACCACAGCCTTGTGACATTTCTTGAAACACTAGAGATCTTAATTCTATATCCCCAAACTTTGGCCAGCACCACCCTAACAAGTCCTGGCACAAGCTCTGAAATAAAATGTGGGTTGTTTGTTTTGCTTTTTTTCTGATTTTTAGACAAGGTTTCTCTGTGGAGCCTTGGCTGTACTGGAACTCAGCCTGTAGCCTAGGCTGGCAATGAACTCAGAAATTTGCCTGCCTCTGCCTCCTGAGTGCTGGAATTAAAGGCATGCCCACCACCACGCAGCTGCAACATGGCTCTTGATCAGCTTCCCCACTTTCAGGCTAAAGGTATCTATAATAGTACACATACTTGTTGCCTGCTGCATGTTTCTCTCCAGTGTCTGCGTGGAAGATGTTCACGACTACCAAGATGTAAATCCTCTTGCCACTTCTCAGTTGTGTTAACAGATGGTTGCTGCTGTGTAAAACGTAAGCTCTAAATCACACATCAATTTGTGTAAATGGTGACATAATAGTGAAAACACTACAGGTTTCAGTAATAGCCCCAGGTAATCTAAATAAGCCAGAGTGTTCTAATATGTTAAACCATAAAAGTGGAAATATTTCTTATTAACAATTTTAATACATCTGCAAAATAATTTTACCTATAAAGCAAGGATCATGTCAGCATCTGTCTCCCATGTTATTGTGAGAATTCAGAAAGATAATGCATACAAGCTTCTAAAAACTTTTGAGCGTGGCTGGAGAGATGGCTCAGAGGTTAAGAGCACTGACTGCTTTTCAAGAGTTCCTGAGTTCAATTCCCAGCAACCACATGGTGGTTCACAACCATCTGTAATGAGATCTGATGCCTCCTCTGGTGTGCAGGGAAACATGGTGTATATATAACCAATAAATAAATCTTTACAAAAACACTTGAGCTATTGTTAATACTTTATTAAGGTTAGCTATCATTTTTACAATGTTAGTATCAATAAAGATAATAACATTAATAACTTTGTTAGTAATATAACTCTAAAAAGCCCAGCCCAAACTCCTAACTGTTCACACTTACTAAACTCCTCTCTACCTGCTTGCATGCAGAGTCTGGATCCTGGATTTCATGTAAACCATATCTGTAGCACTCTGGATATAATTCCTTTTTCCATCTTTCATTTATCCTATCACATGATGACTGCTCATAGCTCCTGTACTAAAAAGTAACATAAATATCAATAGAAATTGCCCAAACAGGAAGATAACATCTACAGCAGCAATTAAAGCTGATGAAGATTGAAGTAGGTTTCAATCAGAATGGCAAACAGAAAAAAGAGTCTGTTTATGCTCTTTGCCCATTATTATTGACCTTAACATTACATGCCTGAAGTGATCACTTCACTGCCTGTCAAATCTCAGGCCCAAATCTAAGCGATTTGTTCTTTGAAGCATATTCTTCACTACTATTCTCCCAGACAGGCTAGGTAGGGCTCAAATACTGTGTTAACCATGTGTACAGTCCTCCAAAGCAACTCCTCTTGCAGTCTCGCCATCCTCCATTCCTCCTAAGATGAAGTCCTTCTGGTACACTTGATCAAAAGGAACTACAAAACTGTCTCAATAGAAATGATCTTCTCATAATACAGGAGAAAATTCTAGAGTCACAACAGAACAAATGTGTATGTGTATGTGTGTCATAAAAAATCCAAACATAAAATAAAGTAGGAACAAAACAATATAATAAATCTCTTATGATACTCTTACTAGCAACCCTTACTTTTTCATCTATGTCTTCTTCAACATTTTAAAACTTTTACTTTACATTTATAAGTGTTTTCTAAGTGTTATGACTGAGCACCACATGTGTGCCTGGTGCCTGCAAAAGTCAGAAGGGGACACTCGATCTCCTGGAACTGGAGCTATAGAAAGTTGTGAGCTCCAGTGTGGGTGCTGGAAATTGAACTTGATTCCTCTGGAAGACAGCCAGTGCTCTAAATCACTGAGCCATCTCTCTAGCCTTCTCCAATTTTATTTTCAGGAGTATTTTAAAGTAAATCACAGATTATTTTAGCACATTTAAAAATAACTCGACATTTTACTCTTAGTCTTATGTTTATGTATTCCACATACAAGCTAGCTTAATAAATTGTCTGTTTTTTTTTTTTTTCAGGAGTTATTCAGCCCTCATTCTATAGGTGCTCTCTACCTGTTCTCTAAGGAAAATTGGGTCCTGGATCTGAGGACACACCAGAGGTAACTCCTCTTTGTCTCTCTCTCCTTTCATGAAAGTTGATGGTTGCTTGAGAAACATGTCCTAAAAGAGAATAAAACCAATAATAATGGCAATAATAATCAGTCAGGGAAATAGGCTAGTCAAAATCTTGCAGGCTTCAGGGAGAACTCCATGTAAATCTTGATTGATGCTCAGGAATCAGGAACAATGCTACACTTTTAATCCAAAGCTACTAGATTTTAATTCTTAAACTGCACACAGGAGAATCTAACAAACTCACCAAACCTTAAAATGGATTAAGGTCTACTATTTCTTACACTCTTCATGTTGGGGCAATAAGTTTGTGATAATATGGTGGGATTCAGCAATAGAGAATAACCCTGGTAAATTAAAACAGACTAACTGCCTTTTGAGTGGGAGAATTTATCTGACTTACTAAAACAGGGTCATTTGTACCATTAGGTACAAGATAGAACAGAGAAAGAGAAGAGCAAGAACTGAATTGTTAAGCAATTCTTCTTCACAATGAGTGTATTCTAACAGGACCTAGACTAGGTCCCCCAATACTATTCTGCCCTACCTGGTCTCTCATAAATCCTGAACTTGCGGTTTGGGAGGCAGACACTGATAACAAGGAAGAGAAAAGATTCCTCTCCCTTTCCCATCTGTCCTATCAGAGAATGGCTCCCTAAAATTTACTTTCTAAAAGAAAAAAAATGTCCAGCAGGAATAGTATGAGAGAAATAATGAAGACTTTGGTAAGAGCATCAGGTAATCTTTAAATTCAGAGTAATATGAAACACAATCACAGGAGTCATGCTTTGTCAGGTCCCAAGTCAGCTCAGAGTTTTTGCAAGTCCAAACTAAACCTCAAAGGGTTAAGTTTCTGCTAATCTCCATCCTTTCTCTGCTCTATCTTGCTCCTGATGGAGACCTGATGGTACCCACAGAGATCCTGACATCAAAGGAAGTGACTCTCTCCCTGTCTACCTTTCAGAACTGACTCTGGCTTCATCATATTTGCTTTAAAAAGAACAAACACTATGCACTGATTGCTGAGTTAAGAATAACAGGCTGACTTAGACTGTTGGCTTGGGGGAGAAGCTGGCCAACTACAACCCTACAAACTGTCCTCTCTGCACAGCCCCTTCTTCTTCCTCTGGCCCTAATGTTCTCTAGCAGAGAAGTGGTCTGGAACCTGTGTTGAGAGATACAGCTGGTACTTTTAGGCCATGCCTCTTTTCAACTTCCAGCTGCCAAAACAGATGATGGCTGACAGAAATATTTATCCTAATATAGAATTATTTTTTACATATAAATCTCCTGGGTAGAGAAAATATACTGCTGGCATTACTTTAACATTTTGTAGGAACCCCGGAGTTTCAAAAATCAGTCAGGAAAGTGCTGTCTCCAGCTAGGAATCTCCAAATCAGCTATAGAAGAATCTTTGCAGATTCTATTACAAACCAAAGTCACTTCTGACTTGTACCCCCTTCCCGCTTTATTTTACCTGGTTTTCAAGTGGAAGATCCTGCTCCTGACATTTGTGTAGATTACTCTGGTCTTCGGAAAGAACATCATGATCCTGACATTTAGGAAGAACATGTGGACCTCTTCTGTCCTGATACATAGGTAAATTATACTGGTGTCTGGGCAGAAAACTCTGTTCTTTAGGTGGGAGATCCTGGATCTGACATTCGAGTGAATGACTCTGTTCTTCAGATAATGCAAGCTGCTTTCTCGGTAGAAATTCCTGGTCTACTGGTAGACTATGCTGGTCCTGACGTTTAGGAAGAACATTCCAGTCTTTAGAGAGAACATGGTGGTCTTTGGGTAAAGAGTCCTGGTCTTGGCATTTGGGCAGAAAATCCCAGTCTCTGGATGAAAAGGTCTGATTTGGAGGTAGAAAATCATGGGCTTCCAACTCAATATTCTCATCAAGCTCAACAGTCTGGGCTTTAACAATGTCCTGACTTGCTGTCGTAAGAGCCTGGCCTTCTGGCTTTGAGGTCCTAAACTCAATTCCAGTGGCCTGGGTGTTTGGCTCAACACCTGGAGTTTTAGGATCAATACTCGAAGCTTTGGGCTCAACATTAAGGACATCTATCACACCACTCTGGGATTCTGGACAGTTGCCTTGAACTTCTACAAAATAATCCTGGGCTTGTGGAAGAACAGCCTGAAGGCTATGAAGATTCAGTTGCTTTTGTTCATCTTCTTTTATCACAACAAATAATGGACTTTTGAATTTTACTTTCTAAAAGGAAATATAAATAACAAACACAGACTGCTAGATGGCAGCAAAAATCCAGAATCCCAAAATAATCTTAAATGTTATCATAATCAAGCAAAGCTAGAAGGGTGAAACCTTAGTATTTGTCCAACTTTAAAATAACCTGAGTCACCGGGTGATGGTGGTGCGCGCCTCTAATCCCAGCACTCAGGAGGGAAAGGCAAACAGATCTCTGTAAGTTCAAGGCCAGTATGGTCTACAGAGTAAGTCCCAGGATAGCCAGAGATACATCTAGAAACCCTGTCTTGAAAAACAAAAACAAAACAAAACAAAAAAATAACCTGAGTCAATAATCCTAAATACACCATAAATCCCTAATTCAAATCATACTTTTTTTAACCGCTTTTTCACGTTACTGGTGACTAAAGCAGGACTTTATGCATGCTTGGCAAACACTCTCCCACTGTGCTACATACTCAATCACCCCTGCCTCCTTTTTTGTTTTGTTCTGTTTTTTTGAGACAGGGTTCTCTGTGTAACAGTACTGGCTGTCCTGGAACTTGCTCTGTAGACCCCGCTGGCCTCGAACTCACTAAGATCCACCTGCCTCTGTCTCCTAAGTGCTGGAAATAAAGGTGTGTGCCACCACTGCATGGCCATCAATCCTCTATTTTAGGATAAGTTCTCACAAAATTGTTCAGGCTGGTCTTGAACTCACACGCTGTATCCAAGGCTGATTATGAACCTGTAATCCTTCTGCTTCAGTCTTTCAAGTAGCTAAGTTTATAGATCTGTGCCCCAAGACCGTAAGTTTACTTTTTTGGCTTTACCTGAACTTTGCTGACAGCCTTTTCTCTGTCCTCAGAAAGGAGATCCTGCTGGTAACCCACACACCAATCTTCTCTCTCCTTTTCACCTGTCACAACAGATGAAATTTCCTGACAGCCAAGGTCCTAAAGAAAAAGCAAATAATATCAAAAATGAAAAGCAAAATCCAAAAGCACATTAAACATAGCTATTACAAGTAGAAACCATATCTTTACAATAACTTTAGAATAAAACTTTAGATACCACAAACAAGTCTAGCAAAACAATGTATTCAAATGTAATTGACTGTTATAGAGTACAAGGCTGTGTACCTAAAACTTTAAAACATTATTAAAAGAAATTAAAGATCTAAATACATGAAAAGATATACCATGTTCAGACTAAAAGAAAATATTGTTTTTCAACAATATTGCTGGATTTGGTGGGTGACCTATAGTCCCAGAACTTTGAAGATAGAAATGAAAGCCCATGAGTTGAGACGACCTTGGGCAATATACTGAAACCTTACTTGAATACATACATACACACACACACACACACACACACACACCCCACACATTGGCCACATTTCCAACACTATAGCTCACAAGTGGATCTACAGACTCAATAATTCCTATCAAAATGTCAGCTGGTTTAAAAACAAACAAACAAAAAACAAAAATAAGCAAAAAAAAAAGGTTGAATTAACACGCAAATCATACAGACACACAGAATATTAGAAAGAGAAGGAGTAAGAAAGAAACCACCGTATTTATCATGAACTGACATCTTTTTTTTTTTTTTTGGTTTTTTTTTTTTTGGTTTTTCGAGACAGGGTTTCTCTGTGGCTGTGGAGCCTGTCCTGAAACTAGCTCTGTAGACCAGGCTGGTCTCGAACTCACAGAGATCCGCCTGCCTCTGCCTCCCGAGTGCTGGGATTAAAGGCGTGCGCCACCATCGCCCGGCATGAACTGACATCTGACAAGGGTGTCAGACAATTCAATGGGAAAAGAATAACTCTTTAACAAATGGTATTAAGATAACTGGGTATCAACATAGAAAAGAATGAAGTGGACCCGTTCTTCGATTCATTCATGAAAATCAATTAGAGATGAATACAGACCTGAAAGTAAGAGCTAAAATTATATACTTAGAAGACCTAGGAATAAAACTTCATGATCCCATGTATGCTAAGGAGAGGTAACACTAAAAGAGCAAGGAACAAAAGACAACAATAAGTCAGACCACTCCAAAACTAAACTTTGGGGCCTATAAATGAAGGGACTGTTAAAGTGAAATGATAGTCTACAGAATGGGAGAAGCTCACACATGTCTGCTGTCTAATAAGGGAAATAAATACATTCACAACATAGAGAGAACATTTAAACCCTTATGAAAAAAAGATGATCCAATTAAAAATTTTCAATTTTCATTTTTTTTACAAGAAATAGACAATAAACACCTATATCTACATTTCCCTACCTGATTTTCCATAAAGTTCTGGTAATGAATTGTAGTTAAAGGGCCTTCGTGGATCTTATCAGGGGGTTCCTCTCCTGCTTCTTTGTTTATCTTGATGCATGCTGGTTTGCTAAGAAGTGCTTTCTGGGGAGATAAAACAAGCCAGTCCATATATTAAATAGTTAGGGAAAGCAATGCGCTCATGATACTCACTTAATCTTTATTAATGACCTAGCAGCTTAGAATAAAGAATTACCATTTTCGTTCACCTATACAAATAAATCAGATATCAACACGTGGAATAAAATACACTGGAAGAATATATAAACTTTAGAAATGACAGCATGCAGTTATTCTAGCCACCAATGATTACAGAAGACGTTTAATTTCAGTCTTGGCAACCTAACAAGGATCAAACAAGAACATGTTGTACTTGTATCTCAATTTTTGAATGACAGTGACAATTAGATAGGAGTATAATGCCACTAAAGTCTAGTAAGAAAATGAAGGCACAATTTAACTGGGTTACAATGTAATTATTTTCAATTAGTAGTTTCTGCTTCACACATACATGAATATAGGTCAGCTATGAGTAAAGATAAATAAAGGTGTACATGTAAGAAAAATTTCACTAATTTCACAGATCATTCCCAGTTATATGGAGTGGATTTATTTCTATTCTTTTATCTGGAAAAAGGACATGGCATTCTCTGGAAACAAGCAGCAAGTTTGAACTCATTATCGTTATAATAATAATAAATTACACTCATATGGCACCTCTGACGTATGAAACTGGTTTGCACAAGGATGTTGTTTCAGGATTAATTCTCTCTTCTACAGGATTAATTATTTTAGTCAGGTCAGTGAACAGTATTTTCTCTGGGAAAACGGCAATTGAAAGGCCTGAGTGCATTCCAAACAAACAACAGTCTGTAGGAACTAACAACACCTTTTTCCTGTCTGAGTAAAACTGTCCAGTCCCTTTTCTAATAGTACCCACCAAAGACTCCAACAGTCCACATACACGGCAGGTTTGAGAATATGCAAGGCACAAAAGAAAAGGTATCTCAAAAGTCACAGCAGGATAGACTGTACTGCTGTAGTTAAGCAGCACACAATGTGTATGGTTCATGCCATATCCCAAGCAGGTACTGAAACCGGGAAAGAACTGAGAGACAGTTGATGGGCAGAAATACACCAAAAAGTCTAAGTAAGGGTCTATTTTACTAAAACCTGGAAGTTAATGCCAAACTTGAGCAAACATGAAAACACAAGAATCGAACATCCAAACTAGTAAAATCTCAAGTAAGTAGGATACCTAAACAATGCCATTTTGTTAAGTACAGGCTTAAACACTTAGTTTCTAATTCTTCATTCTAAATTTAAGTTTAGAATTAAATTAATTCCTTTATTAAAAATACTACTCAAGCTGAGCAGTGGTGGCACTCACCTTTAATCCCAGCTCCTAGGAGGCAGAGGCAGGCAGATGGATTTCTGTGAATCTGAGGCCAGCCTGGTCTACAGAGTGAGTTCCAGGACAGCCAAGGCTACACAGAGAAACCCTGCATCAAAACAAACAAACAAACAAACAAAAAACAAAAACCAAACCAAACCAAACTAACAAAAACACAAATGTTAGCCTGTTGGTGAGAACACCGGGAGATCTCTCGGGGAGAGAGGGGGGCTTCAGTGTTACTGGGGAAGGATGTAATAAACAAGTGAATACTAGAATCTGAAACAAGAAGTGTGATAAGAAAACGAGACAGACAAACACGTGGATAACTACAGTACAGGAAGATAATATTGCTCTTCTGTTCCTTTCTTGCACTTGCTGGGATCAAATACAGTGTCTCAGTTTTGTGTACTGTTATAGATAACTTTTATTTCCTTGTTTTCATTTTAAAATTTTTATAATACATAAGTTTTACTTTTTAGTAAGGAAACAATATTTTTTGTTTGTCTTTTGAGACAGGGTTTCTCTGTGCAGCCCTGGCTGTCCTGTACTCACTCTGTAGGCCAGACTGGCCTCAAACTCAGAGATCTGCCTGAGTCTGTCTCACAGGTGCTGGGATTAAAGGCGCGCACCACCATGGCCTAGTGTTAACACTTGTTGAATAAATACAGGTATTTTTAAAATTAAGATTATGGGGGGCTGGAGAGATGGCTCAGAGGTTAAGAGCATTGCCTGCTCTTCCAAAGGTCCTGAGTTCAATTCCGGGCAACCACATGGTAGCTCACAACCATCTGTAATGAGGTCTGGTGCCCTCTACTGGCCTGCAGGCATACACACAGACAGAATATTGTATACATAATAAATAAATAAATATTTAAAAAAATTAAGATTATAGAATATCTAATTTTATATACTACTTTTTCAGTTAAAAGTTTTCCCTGTTCTTCAGATATTATTTGAAAATCAAATTTTTCAAAAGAATGGCTACTATTTAGGTATATCTTAATTTAGTCAAGTATTCCCTATTAAATATCACCTCGATTATTTTGCATTTCTAAATTATGTTGATATAAAAATAAATTCCTAGATATATTTTTCACATATTTTTAAAAGCAGCATATTGAAAATCAATTTACCTCATGGGCAGGAGAATCTTTCCTTCTACCATTTAGAAACACTGGTGTCTTTTTGTCACCCACAGTTTTAAAGGATGCCAGCTGCTGACGTGCCTGTTGCAGAGTTTGACTAAGCTGCCAGAGAAGGTGGAAAAAGAAAACAAAACCAGGTTAAAATCCTAATGCCAAATGCACCCAGTGTTCCAAAAGGAAAACAGGTCTCTATTATTAAAAGATGCCAGGTTCAGGACAAAAGGATTACTTGCAAAGGAGACTTCAGTCTGCTGAGAGCAGTTTATAATATTGCTGTCATTATTCTGCGATAAAACTGGGTAACTTCGTGACTTAAGTTCTATAAAGCAAACCCATTGAAAAAGATACATACCTTTTATACATAAAATGTCAGGTAGTAATACCTAAATATACTTAGGATTTATTGAGCAAATACATTCCTTATCTTCTATTCATCTTGCATAAATGTTTTTTATTACTCCTTGCTATAAGACTCCATACCTAGTTCTCCTAAAATTCTAATTTTCTTATGTGACTTTTTTCTGTACTACCTCATTTAAAATCTAATACTAGCCTTTTTTCAGATTTCCTTCTCCTCCAGGAAGCTTTCCAAACTGTCCTAGGTAATTTCTGTTGCTGTGACAAAAATACCCTGGCAAATGCAACTCAGAGGTTAGCCGGGAAGGGGGGGGGGTAGTTTATTTCAGTTTACTATTCCAGGTCCACCACTGTATGTTGTAAGGAGGTCGCTTGTTGGTTCCCTACTGCTGAGCCCCGAAATTATCACACAGAGCCATATTATTTGCAATACTGTTTGGCTAATAGCTTAAGCATATTTCTAACTAACTCATATCCTAAACTAACCCATCTCTATTAATCTGTATACCACCACGTGGCTATGGCTTACCAGGTAAAGTTCTATCCAGTATATGTCTCTACATGACTTCTCCCTGACTCTGCTCTTCTTTCTCCCAGCATTCAGTTTAGTTTTCCCCGCCTAGCTCTGTTCTACCCTATCACAGGCTCAAGACAGTTTCTTTATTAATCAATGGTATTCACAGCATATAGAGGGGAATCCCACATCAATTGTAGGGAAGCTAAGGCAGGAAATTAAAAGGGCTAATCACATAATACCCAATCAGCAGCAAACTTGACTCCTTGCTTATACTAGCTTAATTTCTCCATTCTTATTAATAGTTCAGGACACCTGGTCTAGAATGGTGCTGCCCACAGTGGGCTGAGTCTTCCCAATCAATGAATTTAACTAAAGCAACCCTCCACAGACAAGCACACAGTCCAACCAGAAGCAGACAATCCCACTGAGACTCTCTTCCCGGGTGATTCAAGATAGTGTCAAGTTAACAATGGAAGTTGACTATCACATTAAGTTAATGTAGAGTGCAACACTGTACAATAGAACAAATTTATTTCAATTATTCTAAGAAACAACTGATATGCAACCATCATAAGATTTTATATTCACTCCTTATTCTAGTGATTTTAGTAGATAACTATTTTCCTTTTCCAGTAGCAGAACCTATTTTATCTCTTTCAAATCTTCAAAGAATGTCCATTTAGGAGGGGAAAAAACTGTGCATCTTTCTATTTAGGATACACAAAGCATCAGGTAAGAACAAACATCTCCACACTAATTAAAAAAACTACAGCAAGCTTTAATCCCAGCTCTCGGGAGGCAGAGGCAGGCGGATCTCCATGAGTTCGAGACCAGCCTGGTCAACAAGAGCTAGTTCCAGGACAGGCTCCAAAAGCACAGAGAAACCCTGTCTCGAAAAAACAAAAAACAAAAAAAAAAAAAAAAACTACAGCAAGGCTAGGAATACCTCTAACCCACTACTAAAATGCTAACAGAATCAAGTCTTCCTTGAGGAAAACTATATGACGTAGTGATATAGTAATCAAACTATGTAATTTTTACTAATAATGAGCAAAAGATTAAAAAAAAAAAAACCAGTTCTACTACCAGTCCAATGTTCTACAGTGAATCTTCTCTCTTTAGTCCTTGTTTCCAGAGGTCTACACCTGTAGCCAGGTAAACCAGTTGGAACCATTATTCTTCGTTCTAACAAAAAGAAGACTTCTGGATCAGGTGCAGAGTGGCAACAGAAATCAAGAGAGTTATTCACAAGCAAAAAGATATTCTGTGCACTTGGAGTTAAACAATATATAGCGAGTTATATACTGCTTTGTTCACTGTCAAGTAGGATAGGTTTCAATGACCCATACATATGCCAAAGATTCCAAAGGTCTGTTGTAGTCTGTTGTAATGCATCTAGAAACAGATGTCAGAATTTCATTTCCCATTAATTATGAATTTCCATTAGAGTCTGAGTCATAAGCAGGGTTTCAAATGGTCTAACAGCCAGAAGAAGCACTGTGTTTTATTTCTCTTTCAATACCCTAACACTTTGCCAAGCCTTAACCTTGTGAAAATCTTTTCAATAAAAAGAACTATAGCAGTCTGAATATTGACTGCTATTTGGCCAGTATTTGGCCAACCAAAAATAGTAGATCCTAATCCCTTGAACCCTTGCTGATATGGTTAAGAGTACTAATATATGGACACAGTCTCAGATTATCCAAATGGACACTAACTGCCACTACAAGTGCCCTTGTAAGAGAGCAGTAGAGGGAAGTTCAGCAGAGAAGAGGAGATGGTGTGAAGAGGCAGACAAAGGCTTATAGAAGGCAGCTACAAGGAAAGGAATGGTAGCAGGTAAGCACCAAAAGCTGGAAACGTCAAGGAGCATATTTTCTTCTAAAATCTGTGGGAAGGTGGCCCTGCTGATACTTCAATTAGGATCCATGAAACTCAGTTTAGATGTCTAACCGCTAAACCCTCACAAATACATTCCTGACACTTTAGTCATTTAAGTTAGGTAATCTGGGTATGTGGGCACAGATAATACAACTTGGGATGCTGAGGCAGAAATGAGAGTACGAGGCCAGCCTAGGCTACACAGTGAGTTTAAGACTGTTCTGGGCTACTGGGTGAGACATTGTCTCAAAAACAAAAAAGTATGAGGTAATATGTTAGAGCAGCCACAAAAACTATAACTAATGAAAGAGCAAGAATTAATATTCAAAACACAGAAAATAGCTATTACTAGTATAAAACTATTTGATAATTAAAAGAAACTAGTATAAATGAAGACTTGTAAGGTAATAGTGATCACTGTACATGCATGTACTTATATTTGTATGTTTAGAAGTATATTCAGGGGCTGGAGAGATGGCTCTGTTCTTCCAGAGGTCCTGAGTACAATAACCATCAACCACAAGCTGGCTCACAATCATCTGTAATGAGATCTGGTGCCCTCTTGTGGCCTGCAAGGGATACATGCAGACAGAACACTGTAGACATAAAAAAATCTTAAAAATAAAATATATTCAGAATACAAAATTTAATAGTCTTTCTTACATAAAACTAGACACATAACTCAATCTTTTACAGCTATTAATTATTATTAACAGACTAGCACTGAATGGTTAGCCAACTTAAGCTTTTTTGATGAAGCTGGTTGTAGTAGCTCATGCCTGTAATCCAAACACTTGGGAGACTCAGGCAAGAGGACTGTTGCAATTTCAAGACCAGCCTCAGCTAAGGAGTAAGTTCCAGGGCAGTCTCAGTTAAGGAGTAAGACTCTGCCTCAAAACAAACAAATGGGCTACTAGGAGCATATATTGTTCTTCCAAAGGACGTGAGTTCAGTCCCAGCACCCATGTCAGGAAACTCACAACTACCTTAACTTTAGCCCCAAAGGATCTGATGCCCTCTTCTTGCTTCCACGAGCCCTACTTCCAACACAAACATCAGTACAAGTAAATAATTTAAAAAATAATTCCCTAGTGGAGATGAAAATTCATAACTGAACAGAAAACCCAGCAAATAAAAAGAATCAATGTGACTTCAAATAAAAAAAACTGCAGTTACCATCTGGTATGATTATATTTATGGCAATGGCAATGAAAATGCTGAATCTCAATCTAAGAAAATTTTGGTATAGTAATATTATAAAGAGCGGGTATGGGATGGAAAAGTATGTGTAATGGCAAGAGGGAAAGAAAAGTGAGCCAAATTCTCACCTTTCCTAATGGGACATCAATAAGAATCTCTACCACATACTTATGTTGTGTAAGATTCCTGTGAGATTGCACAGTCCATCCCCCAGGGAACTCTTTAAACAGGAAGGTAAACAACCTAAAATTGTGGCAGGAGGTCCCTGAAACTGACCAGATTCACTAAGCCTTTCCCTGCCAGAGTCAGCAATCAAATCTCTGGGTCCACGTCAGACTCAGAGCTGCCAAGACTAAAACAAGCTGAGCTTCACAGAAGACTCTCGGAGGAGAAAACCTGCAAAGACTCAGAGCAGGCCAGCTGCCTGGAAGAGGTTTAGACCAATGAAGGCCCCTGGGAAGGACATTCGCCAACTGTGGAGCAACCTGAAAGCTGTGCAGTGAGCTCCAGGTGCCCAGCTGTGTGAGCTGTCACCCAGGCTGGGGTGGGCCTTGGTGATGCAGCTGTCTTTGACTCTTTCTGCTTCTGTAAGGAACTCCTCACCTGTGCTCCCAATAAACACACCGGTTCATCAGCTGGACTTGGTGCTATCTGTACAGTGGTCTGTTGTGGCTTGTGTCTCCCCAGTTAATGTTTTGTCACAAAACGGCTAATTACTCAGAAACATGAATGTCACTACCAAAACATAAAACTTTACAAAAAATCAAAACTAAATAGTAGCTTTAGTGGAGGGAGAAATGTAGAAACAGGCAAAGCTCTTCTGTTTTTTAAAATATGGATATTATACATACCTTTTTCTTTGTTTACACAATTACACAATACTACTTCAGACCTTAGGCAAAGAACATAAGCCTAGGTTTTCTTCCACCCATAGAAACACCAGTCACCAAAAGTTCACTCACTCTGACTCTTTGAGAGACAGCATCTTGTACATGATAAGTCTGAGGAAAACAGGCATCTCACAAGCTCTACTAAAGGCTCACAGCCTCCCCCCAAGCCTTTGCTGCTTGGAACAATGGCTAAAGAACTGCTTATCAATTAATACAGGTCTGGATACAGTGTCTTCTACATGTTACATAACAGAAAG